ATTAAAAAGGCGCACGGTTTCTTGGATGCTCAAGAATGTATGACCATGCTTTCCTTTTGTAGTTTTAAGTGACGAAAATTTGCATCACAGAGGAGTTCAGAGTTGTCGTTTGTGACAGATGAGATAATGCCAACGTAAATAATTTAATATTAATGCGGGAGAATTCGTCATGATGTACGTACGTGTGTGTACGCCTAATAATTGGCAGCCCTGAGCCGAATCGCCGGTTTGTAGCCTAGGGCATTTAGCACGAGTGTACATATTCATTATATCTATTGGATGTATTAGTGGAATTTGTCAGTGTTGAGAAGAACGTAGTGTTTAACTCTTTTGGGACAATGTGGATATTGATAAATTTATCTAGTAGATTAAAAAAAAATCCCGAACGTATATTTTAGATAAACGCCATTTTAGTCACGAATTGTAATTAGGCACTAGCGAGTGTTTAATGGAAGTGTCTAGAGTTGCATACTATACTTTTTTACGACAAATATTATTAGGTATAAAAAATATCATATTACTAATAAATTTAAATATTTGTACAGGGTGATACCCTATAATGTCGCCCCCGTTTAACTTTTTATTTTAAGTGTCCGAAAAAATTTCAAACTGTGGTTACGTAGGTACTAAAAAATACTTTTTTTCTACGTATAAAGAAAATTGGAAAATTGATCAGTATACAGGGAAAAACAAAAAGTTTATTTTTTTTCAATGGATCACCCACTTTTAAATTTGTTGGGACACTTAAAATAAAAAAGTTAAAGGGGGGGCGACATTATAGGGGATCACCCTGTACATAGCGACATCTTTACAAAAATAGAGTGAATCTGTTTTACCGTCTATCAAAATGGCAGTGTTGTCAAATTTTTCCGTATGCATCGAAATTTATCTCTTAAAATGGACTAACAACCATTTAAATCCGATATAGAAGCAGTTTTTTACAGTGCAGATCTGAGCGAGGCAGTTAATATTTTTTTCCCGCCTTTAATAATTCTGTTTCAAATAATGCATTATTTTTTAATACTCATTATTAAAATAATGAGTAATGAGTTTAATAAAAATTAAATTAATTTTTATTACATTCTTTCCAATGAGTAATGTATTCTTTTTACATTACTCATTTTTAATTTGCAATGAGTAATTTGAGATTTTCAACTAATTTTTTTATGTAAATAATAATGCACTTATTTTATATTACTCATTTTTTATATTTAATGAGAAATACATGATTATCGAATTAGGTACTTATTTTAAGTGGGCAAGGACGATATTTTTATTGTATGACACATTTTTTTAACTTTTGCACGGTTTGCAATAGATAGAAGTGTAATTGATCTTTTATAAAAAGCATGGGCTTTGTGAGCGGAAATAATTTATTAATTAAAAGTAATCAATTTTATTAGAAAATAATAGTCACCTTTATTAAAGGAAAAGATTAAATTTTATGAAAATTACTAATCTGATCAGAGAACATTTTTTTTTGCAGCATTTTTTATTGTAAATCATTTGACAAAAAAGTTTAAGAGCCCATCAACCCCCACCCCTGAACATTTTTCAATGAATCACATTAGGTAATGTCTTTCGTTACATATTTTTTTTAATGTGTAATGTACTGTCTCTCATTACTCATTAATTTTTTAATGAGTAATGAAAATATTTCTAATTAAATTTTTTTTAATTATTATTGTATTCAAACTACATTACCACTAAAAATAAAATGACGATTGCATTATTTTTCATATTAACATTTTTGCAACTCTAGTATTAAATGTAAATTTTACATTTAAGTTATCGAGTTTTGTCAGGTTTGACTTTTGACATGTTATATTATAGGTTATGTACAAAAATTTCTTTTACAGTGACCTATAAGTTTACATTTTCTTTCGAGCTAAACGCGATAGATGGAACCACTCTTTTTATATATACATGTAATTTCTATGTATTTTCATTATTGTACGGCGGTGAATAATGAGTGTATTTTTAAAGTTTACAATACGTTTGTTTTAATAAACAAATAGGTAGTAAAAATAATATTACTTTGACTTTGGTCATGAATTAAAACTTTACCATAACTATTTAAAACATTCATTCAAAAGTTATCTAAATAACGGAAAACCAAAACTATATTTTACCTTTTTAAATAAATTATTTATAGTATTCATTATTTATTTCTTCAACAAGCATAGGCTGTTGAATACATTTAAAACATTTGTACAAATGAATTTTATTGGTAAATCAGTAGCCTTTAACTTTAGTCCTGAACTATAATATTATTATTTAACAAGTTTTATAAACGCATTTGATTGACGAGTTTAATTATGCACGAGCGTAGCTTGCATACCATACTCTACCACAAATATTTGTATTAAGCGACATCTATAAAACAATAGAGTAACCATTTTTGGAAATCTGTATCACCAGCGCGCCACGGTCCATTTTACTTTTTGATAGTACCCTGTATTCTACCGTTTGGTTCCTTTCAAGTTTCTGATATTAATATTAATGTATACTTATTGACAGACTCAATGGTCGATGATAATGTCAAATAACGTAAAAGAAACCATACATTTTATTTTGGCGGAAATCCAAATGCAAAACAGATCACTAATCTATGATTATTACGTCACAATATTTTAGACGGTTGCTTAAAAAAAATTCAGAAATGTGCACTTTTACACTTGGTTAAATCTCTGCACAGTGGCTCTTTGTAGATTTGTTCTTTGTGTGGTACGGGTGTGGATTTTATAAATTAACATAATAAAATAATGCATGCACATTCGCCTATTTTCTTTATTTATTTATGTTTTTAACGTTATAATATAAACATGTTTTGTACTACGTGCAAAAGAGCTAATGTATGTGGGATGGTTTAAAAAATTTATATTTTTATAAAAGTAAAGTGCGGTCAACTGCATTTCAGAGTGAAATAGTTTATTGTATACACGAGTGGAGAAAATGGTCGATTATTAACGAGCGAGTTCATAATCACCATTTTTTATGATTTCCACCATTAAATAAAAAATTAATACTTTTGTAGAAATGATTTGGCCTTAATTTTATTGTCTTCCAACATTGTTTTCTGATTTTTTTTATTATTTGCCTTTTAAATTTAATTCCAAATATGTGAAAAATGTTTAAATTGATATTTTTTTTAATTACGTCATATATATTCTTGTTTATTATTCCACTAGTGGAATAATATTTTCATTGATCAACTCGTGTTACAATAGGTTACTTTGTTTATTGTTTTCGAGCGTATAATACATCAATTCCACGTGAGTGTGGGAAAAAGATATTATTATCTAAAACCTTTTTTAAAACCAAAACCACAAATTTTCACTCTGATAGAGAGTCTCAAACAAATTTTAAATTTAACATAGGGATATTTTAAAATATGTATATCTATATCTTATAGATATTTTAAAATATATCTATATATTTACGCCAAATCTATGGCTTTTGAACTTGACCCCACTAAAAACCTTTCTGTAAATTTTTTCAAATTTTTTGACGCACCTGTAATTTGGTGCTTTTTTCAAACGGTAATAACTTTTTCAAGAACCGACTTTTTGAGACTTTTTTTTTTAATTATTCGCGGAATTGTTTATTTTTTTTTAGAAAAAACATAACATGGATCAAGTTTGATAAACGCCATTTTAGTCACGAATTTAATTTAGGCGAGCGAGTCTTTAATTAAAATATTATCTAAAATATTATATTATGTATCAAGTTTGATAAACGCCATTTTTTACACGAATTTAGAAAAGTTTATAAACGAGGTGCATGCTATACTTTTTCTACGACAAATACTTATTATTATCTTAAAATGATTTAAATCAAAAATTGGTATAGAGCGCCATCTATGAAACAATGGGTGTGTCACCGTCAAATGTCAATTTTTTTTATTTTATAACCACAGATTATAAAGGTTATAAAACGAAATGTATTTCTTGAAAATTTACAGTTTTTCACAGTGAAAGTAAAGAAAATGTTTTATGAGCACTTTACAGTGGAGTCCGTGTCCGAATTTAAGTTATAGTTTACTGCCGGCGAAATTAAAAGGTTAGTACCATGTTCATTTAAACTTTTTAAATATTGGCGTTGAGAAACTATTTAATACTTTTGTATTTTTGTATTGAGATAATAAAATAATTTTCACATTTAGTATTATTTTAGAAGAAAGGCACTTTATTTTAACGATTGTATGACATTTGACAACTGTCAACTAACTTCAGCCCGTGACTAAAAACCTGTTGCTAACTTCAGCCCGTGACTAAAGCACCATAAGCCTACAACTTGTCAATGTGTAGCGAAAACACTCCAATCATGAATCAAAATCCTACATATATGTTTTACCATAATTTGATGTGTTTTGTAAAAATAGTAGTGTGTTTTTGTATACAAAAACACACTACTATTTTTACAAAACACATCAAATTAATATAATTATTATATTATACAAAATTTAGAGAATTAAAAAATATACATCAAATTAATAATACACAGCATCATTTAGATATTAAAAAATTAATTTATATAATATTCACCCAATAATAGTTGTAATGCCCAAAAAGATTTCAAATTTTTTTAAATTGACGCGAACAAAATTTGTTTTATTCAATAGTAACCTAAAAATAACCTTAAAAATATAATATATAACCAAATCCTCACCGAAAAATTTCCTGCCTCTAAGTTAAATCATGATATTGACATAAAAAATAACGAATTTGAACCTTTAAGAGTAATCTCTCGCACTATTTTTTCCAAGTTTAGGTACCCACAAAAATAGCATAATATTGTTGCTTTTTTGTCGTTTCATTAAATATGACAAGTAGTGACGTTTCAAACGTCAAAACCGTCGGCAACTTGGTCGGGCATTAGCATCTCCAATGGTGATGCGAAGAGCTTGGCCCATTTTGCGCGGGCATGCTTTACCACTTCTACGGTGCACGTTGATAGATAGCGCAAAAGGAGCTCTACAAACGCTCGCGATATACAGTCTCTGTTAGACGGCGTTGGAAAATACAGCCAACCAGGACGCAACCGTGCGCCTTTTTCAATACAGTAGTGCCGGCAGTTTGATTGTTGTTCGGATTTTATTGAAGGTGTTCTCTTATTTTTTTAAATTTGTTTGTATTTTTTAGAATATAATTTGAGCATGTGATTGTTGTGTTCAGTTTAGTTTAAATTGTGAGTTTCTTTATATGGTAATATTCATTTTATTTGCCTGGTTTAATTTAGATTTTATGACTATTCCACTTTGTTACACATTTTTATTTAGGTATTTAAGATAAGATATGTAAATACGCGTTTAAATCTTGATATTATAATTTCACGCAAATTTTGCGTAACTACGCGCTTCTCAGTACATATAAAGTTTAAAAAGTATGTAAAAGTTGTTAAGTTACTAAGCAATTATGATATAATACTTTTTATAAATTATTTAACAAAAAAAAACAAATTTACAAAGTTTTTATTAGATTTAAAATAATTCTAAAAAATTCTTTATCTATCGTTTACATTTATTAAAAAATGGTAACCCAATTTTTTTTTGTATAAAACATAATTTTCAATTTGTAAGATTTTTTATTTTTGTATATTTCTATCTTAATCTTTGGGTTCAGCACCTAAGTTTATTTAAAAAAAATCACTTTTTAATAGGGAATAACATATATTTCTTAAAGTCACCGTATGACGGAATAAACACATGCGGCGACATCTTTGTGTTTATTATCTGACAACTTTAAGACCGATCCAACCTCACTTTTTTCCAATTAAATTAATTCTCCATGGTATTTTTAAAAAACGTAGAAAAAGTATAGTCAAAAACATATTTGTAATGAAAAACTTTTCACTCGAGCGGAATATGCCGTATTCCAAACTTGTTACAGAATATACTATTTTCTTCACCTTTAGAAAGACAAACTAACAATGGCAATTTAAAAGCCGGTAAAGCAGATTCCTAACACAAATTTTGGTTACTCTTTTTTTGTATAAATGACGCTCTATACAAATATTTAAATTAATTAGTAATGAATTATTTTATATAATGTTGTAAGACGTCAAAGAGAAAATCTCTTATGACACGAGTTCATTACTTTTTATATTTGTCAAAATTATAAATGATATTTGCGTATCGTACTGTACCATATATGGTACTGTTTCCATGGAGACAATACAAAACTCAAATGCGTATCGTACTTTTTTTGGTATAAAAATAGTAAAAGTATAATATGTATAACTCTTTTAAAACATTTTTAGATACTCATTTTTATTAAACACTCGCTAGAAAGCTTTGCTCTTGCCCAATTGAAATTTGTGACTAAAATCAAAATTTATACATAATTTACTATTATCCAATCCCACTTTGATAAGTTGTGACTTTATGGCGTTTTAGTCACGGTCTAAAGTCAGCAACTGTGATTTTTGGTCTTTTTAGTCACGGGCTAAAGTTAGCTTTATTATAAATTAGTTAAAAGTAAGGTTGAATTCGTCTAACAGTTGTCAAATGTCAGATGTTTACTAAATAAAATTGGCATTAAATTCTTATTTGAGCTTGTCGTAGATAAATTATAGTATGAAACTTGTTTTATTATTTATTTATTAATCATTCGCTCGCAAGCTCGTACCTAATAAAAACTCGTGAGTAAAATGCTCTTTATCAAACCTGATATCATCTATATATACTATTAGGTTTTAAATTTTTTACTATGATAATTTATAGTTTTGACCTTAAAAAAATACATTAATACTTATAATAAAAAGTAAATATTAATGAAAAGTAGAAAATAAAAAAGTACGATAAATGTTAATCTAAAAATAAAAAACATTTTTATTTTGATATTTTTACAAAAGTCAGTTAAAACAGAAAATTATGAGCTATAAAAATTTATTTCAAACTTCATTAATTAATATTTATTTAAGAAATACTAAAAATAACTGTTGTTAAATATTTATTTTTACTTGTTTATTAAAAGTGCTTAAAATAACAATAAAAAAACAATAAATTAATCAAATTAGGCAAAACTATGCTTAAATATTATCATTCCATCCCACAATAAAAATGTAATTTTTTCTAATTTTAACTTCGCCCATATTAGTTAAACCAAGGTTTTGTAAAAAAAAACTTATAATAAGTATAAATAAACAATAAGCAGGTGTATTAATAAATGAATATTAAATTTAATTTCCACATAAATTACATCTTAAAAGCCGATAAAAACTATTCAGCGCACACTTTTTAAAACATGCGTTTAATTAATTGTACCCCTATACTATAATTACCAAGTTAATTTGTTACAATTAAATAGATTGAAAAATATTTTTATAATAAATTGAACCGATTCAAACGACATATGTTGTGAAACTAATAGCTTTAAAATTAAAACTTACACTGAGAAAAATAAAGAATGTTATGAAATTTATAATTGGGCAAAATTATTAGCCCTCAACTTTAAGTAAATATAAATGTTCTTTTTAAAATAATGTCATTTATTGTATTTTGTGCAGGGTTGTCCAGAATGCAGGATAACATTATGTGCGTAACAATGTTGATAATATAATTGTGCCTTGTTGCGGCCTTTGCGAATTTACTAATGTGTGCTTCATTGATTAAATGCACGTTAACACAGTCAATTACGCACAAACACGTTCAAAAGTTAACATTTGACTACATCGGTTTTACTTGTACATACTGTATATATACGCATATATGCATGTGTATTTACTTTGCGTTTACACGCCCTAACTAACTGTTGGGTCAACAAATTTTTATAACATTGCACATTGGCAACGTTAGTTTTTGGATTAAAACCAATTTATTTTGTGGGCTACAAGTTACGATCAACACAAAAATATACCTTAGGTTGTAAATTAATGTTATTTATAATAGTAATGCAATTTTTTATTTGTTAATTAAATACTTAATTTAACCGAGGATCATTGGAAATGTAGCTATTGGTCCTAATAAAACTTTTAATCATTTTTTTAAGGATGTAAAATGTTTTTTTCAAAAATTGCACAATTTTCAAAATTGAAAGTGCTGTAACATAAACAATTTTTGTCCGATTTTAATGAAATGTACAATTTTTTTTTTACTCCATCTATCTTCTTTAATATTTTTTCCACTCCCACCTTTAAAACGCCGTAGTAGTGCAGTTGACTAGATTTAACTGATAAAGCGTTAAAAATTTGACGTACAGTGCCCATTAAACATATCTTTTACTGTGAAAAACTGCTTTCATATCGATTGTTAGTCTATTTTTGAGGATAAATTTTGATTTACACAGAAAAATTTGAGATTTTAACACCGCGGGGTTATTCCCAAGTTAGAAATTCTAACGGGAATTCCAATAAATACAACTGTCACTCTTTGTACCTTAACATTTCCTGTGTAAAAATTTTTAATACTTATAATAACGGGCAAAGTTAATGGTAAAAATTACGTCAAAATAGATGTCAATAGATGTCGCTTTATAAAAATATTTAATTTAAATCATTAGATAATAGAAAGTGTTTTTCGTTTATAAACTTGATTTATCAAACTTGGTACATAATATACTATTAAAATTTCAATGCAATTAAATAAAAATTGGAAAAATGGCACTTAAAGCCATCGCGCGGGTCAAAATTTATATTTACGCTAATTTAATTTTATTAAAATGTTGTATTTTCAATATTTCTATTATATATAGTCAAATTAATATATTTTACGGTAGCTTTAAAAAAGGTTAAAGTTAATCTTTATCAAAAAATCTAAAGAAAACTTTTTTGTAGATTAGTTAATCAGTTAATTTCCAACAAAAATGTGTAAGTAGTACTCATTTCAAAGTCTTAAACTTTTACCCAAGATGAATGGCTAGTTTTACAAAAAAACCATAGAATACACTTTTTTCCCATTAATATATGTATTGGGCTTAGCTTTATATTTATTTATTAGTGAAATAAAAATTGATTGGTATCCAACCACTGTGAAAATGGAAAATTGCATGCACCTACCGGTGTAAATCTAAACCACTCTCTAAAAATGAAATAGTCAAAATTCTACTATTTGAATAAGTACCAGCATTTTTAACTAATAAAATAGTCGTTTTCACTTTTAAATAGTTATTTTTTACTACGTAAATAGTTAAAGTTTGACTAATTTAAGATTAGTCACCATATTTGACTATTTCTGACAGTTAAAAGTAACTAATTTCTTTAATCGTTTACGGCCAACAACAAAGTATTATTTGAATTAAATGCATATGGTTAAATGACCCATAAAACAAATAAAGATGCAAAAAGTTTAGCACAAATAATATATTAAAACTTTAAAATATTATGAACAATATTTATTGACAAATAAAATTTATTTTTATAAGAGCGGCTGACAGCCGACTGGTTATGAGGTTAGGTTGACAAGCTTCTCAAGTCACAGACGTGAGTTCAATCCCAGGCTGGGTCAAAACTTTTTTTAAATTTAAATTTACTAATTTAACTATTTCATTTAGTGGAATTTGACTAATTATTAGTGACTGTTTTTTCGCTATGACAATTAGTCAAATATGACTTATAATTAGTTATTTTTGACTAATTCATTTTAAGAGAGCAGGTATTTATAACATAACCTCGTATAGAAACGAAACTCCGTTTCTGCGGTTATCGTTCCGAGACATAGAAATATTAAAACATTTTAACCGTGTTTTTAGGAAAATTTTAATTTACAAATGTCAGGGTCAAAAAAATCACCAGAAATAAGGTTTTTAAAGAAAGTATTCATCTAATCACCAAATGAATTAAAAATCACCAAAACCAAAATATGAAAAAAACCTAAAATATGAAAAAAAAAACAAAAAAAAACGGACCGTTTTATTCAAGTCGAATCTCTAAGTATTATATATATTATTCAATTTATACCAACTAACTGGAATATTTTTTTTAATTATATGTAATTAAATAAATATATCCCAATAACTCTGTATATTAGTTACGAGTTTTATTAGTCACGAGCAAAGCTTGCGTATTTACAGAATTTAAACAAAATTAAATATACTCTAGTTATAATTTACCCTGACATATTTTATCGGTGTTTTTTTTCGAAAAATGTACAACTTTTCATATTTTCAAATCAATTAAGCAACTACAAAATATCAAGCAATATTTATGATCATTTGAAAATAGCTTCAAAGAACGCGTGCTTGATTTTAACATATTGTGTTTCTAATCT